TGCTTGCTCGCCCATTTTTTATACTTACTGATACAGTATACTAAGAAGAGAAATAATAATGATAAATTAAAGACATTTAGGTATTTTACAAATAATTTTTGATTCGAAATCAAGTATCTGATCATCGAAAAATTTGGATATTAATTTTTTCTTCAGAGAAAAATATTACACATTAATTAAATAGAAAAAACCACCTATAAGTTGCCTAGTTTTAAAATACAAATTTTTGTATTCTACCCGTAACTCTTGACAACCTCTACCTCCTTTTTTTTGATTATGAATTTTGCCAGAAAACAGGCAACTCTCTTATTAATAATTTTAACTCGAGGGAGACTCATTATTTGTGAATAACCTAAGTACAAAAAGGGAAGGAAAAGTGCGCATTCACCCTTTACGTACAGGCGGATAGCGAACTGGACATTTACTCTGTTAACCCGCCCCATCCCTGGTGTGCAATTTCGTCTTTCGCCAAATTTTCGCCTTCTTGATGATTTATCTTTCGTATTTTTACTTCATCCATTTTGGGCAGGCCCAACAATATTTGAAACTTGATTTGAATTTTTCTTTTTTCGTTTATTGAAACTAAACTTTATTGAAACTCTTGCGCCTGCCCTGATTGGCATTAAGAGGTACATCGATTCTATATGCCTAATCTAGCATAGAATTCGAGCTTTGCATATTAAAAAAATAAAATCAAACGAGAAATTCAAAAAAAATATAGTAAATTATGCGCCGTAGGCGCTTAAAATCCAGATTTCAGCGCCGCAGGCAAAAATTTTTTGAATTTTGATCACCAAAGGGGAAAATTTTACAGTTTTTGGGTAATATTTTGGTCTAAAAAATGGGTAATGTTTCGTTAACGAAACAGAGGTGTTTCGTTAACGAAACGAAACAAACTAAAAAGTGTTTCGTCACGAAACGAGACGAAACAGGAAAAAACATAACGAAACTAACGAAACAACGAAACGAAACGAAACGTTTCGCCCACGTCTGATAGGGATCACTCTATTTTTTAATAACAAAATTCTATTTAAATATTAACATACCATGAATACACTGCGTAACAAAAAGATGGCACATCATGTTTTTTCGTCATATCTTTATGGAAAAGGGTCCATTTCGGTTGAAATTTTTTTTGTAAATAGTTTTCATGAATAAAATACAGATGAGCTTAATCGCGCGAAAAAAAATTTTTCCTGAATTTTTTTATAAAATAATAACCGTTTTAGTGGTATAACAAAAAGATGGCACATTTTTAATTTTTAAGATTAGGAGTGGTCTGAAAAATTTACAAAAATTCCTGTAAACATATCTATTGATATCGATAGAAAATACAAAAGAAACGAAGTTATAATGTATCTCCTTCATCGAGATCTGAAAACCCGGAAATCAACGGGAAACTAGGGGTAAACGTCTTTAAAAAATATTTTCGACCCCTTATAGACTAAATTAAATTTTTATGTTATACTTTTCTGAAAGCCCTTTAAATTTACTATAAGAAACACTTATTGTTAATAAATCGAAAAATTTTACTTGGGAGATATTGAGAGTTAAATTCAATGGACATGAAAATCATTAAATCCACCCCATGAAATGGTGTTTAAAAATCTAATGAAGTATAACTTAATGGAAAAAATTTTCTGTAAAATAAAAATTGCTGGTATTATAGCAAATTTAAAGGGCTTTCAGAAAAGTATAACATAAAAATTTAATTTAGTCTATAAGGGGTCGAAAATATTTTTTAAAGACGTTTACCCCTAGTTTCCCGTTGATTTCCTGGTTTTCAGATCTCGATGAAGGAGATACATTATAACTTCGTTTCTTTTGTATTTTCTATCGATATCAATAGATATGTTTACAGGAATTTTTGTAGATTTTTCAGACCACTCCTAATCTTAAAATATAATGTGGACGTGTTCAAAAATAACGTTTCTCGCAACAGAATGTTACAACTAGAGGTCGGCGCGGGACGGGATCCCGACGGGATTTTCCGGGATCCCGATCCCGGAATCCCGGATTTTTTTGATTTTCGGGATCATTCGGGATTTTTTCGGGATTTATCCCTCGGGATACTGAAGGAAAAACGGTTTAAATTTTTTTATAATTTTTGTTTTGTGAAGTTCATCAGGGTTTTTGGGACTGTTTGGTAGTTTTAAGCTTTATGGGGTTTAATTTTCTTGTCTTCCTTATTTTCCTTTGTTTTATCTGTAAAAATTTTCTAAATCAATCAAAACGGATTAATTTTGTTTAATTATTCCAACATGATGTTGTTTGATTTCCGAATCTGCTACAAGTTCTTTTTTCCATAAAGTTCGTTCTTTTGAGCCTAGTTTTCATGAAAAAATTTGGAATTGCTCATCTACTCTAATAATTTCTATAAAATAAAAATGGTTACGCTGTCTATAATGTTCAGAATGAATCTTTTGATTGATTTACATTTTATAGTTAAGCAAGGGGAAATAAAGAAATGAAAGTAACGCCCCTAAAGTTCTAAATTTTTCTTTTTGGAAAAATAAATGGGTAATAATTTGCGGGCCCTTAAGTATGATTTTTTCATGGGGGAGTCCCCAAATTTTTTTGTTTTTCCATTTCGGAGGGGAGAGGAGTATACGCGTGTCTTTTTGTTGGACAAAATTTGTATTGGTTTGAGTTTCCCTTTCCCACTTTATCCTTTTTCCCCTTCATAAAAAATTCAAATTTGATTTTAGCGTCCCAACAAGAAGCGTTTCCATCGTCGCTACTATCGTCATCCAGTTGCAGACAAATCCAAGAGCGCCACTAATACCACCACCAAGGGAGAGGATGAGAAGAAGGAGGTTGTCGGTGAGGCAAAGAAAGATGAAGGGGGGCAAGGAACGAAGGAGGAGCCAACAACTGTTAATACGACGTCCACTGCTACTTCTCCTCAGAAATGAAATTCTTTTTTGAGGGAAAATAAAATTCTGATAAATTTGTTAAGATTTGATAGAGTTTTTCAATGTGACACTTTACACGTAAATATATAAATTTAAATAAAAAATAAAGAAAAAAATGTGGATTGATTTTGTCTTTTTTTTGTTAACTTCCCCCAAGAACTAGTTCCAAAGCTAGTTCCAGACATTACCTCTAATTAATCGGTAGCGCTCGCCCTGCTCTTACTCTCTTTTGAAATTGTCTGGTGTGGAAAAAATTGTTTTGCATCCTGTGATAAAGTACAGCATTGAGCACTTTATCCTTGCTTTGTGGTTTGTGAACACAAAACATGTTTTGTGAATTTAATTTTTGTGCATGACGATTTTCTATGCTACGTTGACTTAAAAATCGTACACTCTCGCGACAGAAAATATAATAGGAAAGTGGAGAGATTTTGTCTATCAATTTTTGTCTATTAATTTTTTTCAATGTTATTTTCTGTCGCGGACGCAAATCGACTATGTACGTGTAACTATAGTGTAAATCCCCCCTCCCTTTCCTATTTTCTATGTAATTTTATGTCCACATATACACATACATTTATTCAAAATTAAAAAAATTTTTTTTATTAAAAATTTAACATTTAAAATATAAAAAAATTTAAAAATTTTCTAATGTTAAAAACGTCGTTTTTAACATTAAAGTTAATTCTGCTGATTTGTGTTAATCAAAGTTGGAGTGGTCAAGTTTTGAACAAACTTGATAAATTAACAGAGGAGGAGGTTGAGAAATTGTTAAATATAGCTAAAAAGTATGATCCCGATTTCAATTTAAAATTTGAACAACTTGATTTCCAAACTACTCCAATTTACGAAGGAAATAATTCCGTGCAAATTAATCAAGAAGAATTGGGCTTTTTTAAAAGTTTAATGAATTCAATTCAAGAGGAAGTTAACAAAAGTAAAAATAAAAAAATTAAAAAAAGTTGGGAATTTTTTAATCCCAAATTTAATGAAATTATTAATTTAATGTTTGAAATAACGACAGTTATAAATGAAAATAATGAAGAAAATAAAAATAAAATATTCATTCCAATTTATTATTATGGAGGGAAACATGGAAAAGAATTGTTAATTAAATTAACAGAAATTCTAAAAAATTGGAATAATCGAAAATTAGATTCAGAAAACATCAAAGATGAGTTTGAAGAATTATTTAATTCAATAAATTATTTTATTGAGATAATTCATTGGGGCAAAGATGACAATAATAGGGGAGAAATGTTGGAAGAAATCATTAATCAAAATATTGAAGGAAATATAAACAATTCTAAAGAAATTTTAGAGTTGATAAATGAAAATATTAAAGAAGCAAAGAAAGTCATGTTCTCGAATAAATTAAAAAATAAAATATCAAATTTTAAAACCAAATTAAACAATGTGGTCTGGACAGAGTTTGATAAAGTAAAATTTAGGTTCTACTTGACTTTATGAGTCTAATCAAAAAATAATTGGATTTTTCTTGGTGTTGCAAAGTTGGATCATGGTTCCAAAACATTTCTTCATGTTTGTTACCTACGCCCACTGGGTCTGGGACCATTCCTTGCCCTATCCCTCGAAATTTCTGAAAGTTAAAATCGTTCTCTGAAATTTTTAAGAATTGGCTATAACTTTCAGAAATTTCTAGGAATATGGTAAGGAATGGTCCCAAACCCAGTGGGCGTAGGTAACAAACATGAAGAAATGTTATGGACCCATACCCCTACTTTGCAACACCAACAAAAATCCAATTATTTTTCGATTGGACTCGTAAAGTCAAGTAGAACCAACTTTAAAATTAATTTTAATATATTAAATTTTAATCAAATTTTGTAGAATAATGCAAATCAAAATTCGAATATGTTTCAGTATAACACGGAAGATAATCTACGTAAAAAGCGAGCAACTTATATCGACATAATTATTAGACTATTTATTAGACAATTAGCAAGAGGGATAGTTAGAGCTATATTTTCCAATGAGACAAGAGAAAAATTAAATATAATAATTTTTTATTTAGCTGTTGGATTAAACTATCTTTTCTTTATTGCTTGGCCTATTGCTGATCGCATGTCTACGATTACCTGCGATTTTCCTGAGTTCGACTGGTTAAGAAACCATTGGCCATTTGGAGGAGGACACGGACAGAATAATGGAGGTGGAAACAATGAACAAATTAATCAGTTTAATCAACACATACACCATCCAGTACATCCACAAGAACATCCACATGAACATCCTCCAGTATACCAACAACCACAGCAAATACCTTGGCTTCAACCATACCACCACCAACAACAACAGCACCCACAACCAATACATCCTCATATGCCAATACAGCCACAAATACCATGGTTTCAGCAACAACAGCAACACCACCAACAACATCATCCACACCAACAACCACAACAGGCTATTTCATATTCCGATAATAATTATACTAATAGTCAATCTTCTTCAAGCAATCCACAACAATTTCCTTCATTTAACCGTTTGGATTCAGTTAACTCTCGTCCTTATCCACAACAAGATTCTGACGATGAAGGTAGTGATAATGGTGGAGAACCTTCACAAGTGACAGATTATTCTGACCTAGACCGTAAACGACGTTCTGCTTCTTTAATGGGCCAGAATGATAAGGAACAAAAGAAGAATGGAAAAATTCAAGGAAATAATTTGGATAAAAATCAAATTATTAATTCTGATTCAAAGAATCAATTGAGTAAGAAATGTTTAAAAAATTAATTTTATATCAAAAATTTTTTTTGGAATAAAAAAAATTTTTTTAGAAGGGAAAGGATCACGCTCATCGACTTTGGATGGAAATCAAAGTTTTGTTGATGCTACTAAAACTAAAAATTTTTACTTTCCTACAAATTTAACAAAAAATCTTGAGAAGAAAAATCGCAAGAAACGAGACATTTTTGATGCACTACGTGAAGCATGGGAAAATTGTGGGGAATGGTTGGGAAATATTTTTTGGCTAATCAACATTATAGCCTATTTTGGTATTTTTGTTTATCTTTGTTTTATTCTCTGAAATTTTCTTTTCTAAATTTTTCATATTCAATTTTATTTATTTTTTCTTATCAAAATAGAATTTAGTAAGAGTTAAGCAAAATTACAAGTTCTTGAAAGTTATACGGTATCGGGATCAGGGCTGCACGCAATTGCGGATTGCGTTTGCGGATTTTTAAAAAATTACGAGTTACGGATTTTTTTCAATTGCGTGCAGCCCTGATCGTGTCCTAATCGGGATACTTTATTATTTCTTTTAATTTTTTTAATTTTTTTTATCTAAAATGGACTTCAAAATTTTGTTTTAACGTATTTTCTTGATTAATTATCCACCCTAAATTAATTTCCCTCGTTCGAAAGATTTCACTAATTTGATACTTCTCTTTTAAGTCTGACGGTCGAAAGAATATTACATGAGATAATTATTCAAGAAAATACGGTATCTTTCATAGACTTGATCATCTATATCTGTCTTTAAGTAGAATCTGCCTGTACGTAGATTATATCCTCTGTCTTATATAAATTATATAATCCTCTGTCTTTACCTAGAAAGCGACTTTACTAAATTATAAATGACAATTAAAATGAATGAGAACCAACAAAAGAATTCGATTCTGAAAATAGGCTGAAGGAAATTTGAATGCCTTTTACAGTCATTATTATAGGGGAACCTGTTCTACCGCAATTTATTTATCAAAATTTATACTTTTTCGATAGGGGCGAAATCTAATTTATTATCTAACGAAATCTAATGTACTATCACTTTACTCAATTTGGTCAAAGAAAATTTGATAAATTTCCCCTCTAATTCAATCCTTTCCTTTTCCTCCATAAAATCTGTTAATTGTTCCTCTCAACTCTATATGAAAGTATTATTGTTTTGATTAAATTAATTATGTCCCGATTATCTAAAAAACATTTTAACTTGTAAATAGCAAAATCACATATTTTCTCTTTATTTTTAACAACTTCAATGTAGTCATTTTTATTCTCCAAAGTGTTGAAATTTTTTTAAATTAAAAATTTTAATCTTTTAAAAATGAATGTCTTTGTCACCCAGTGATGGGAAAGTTCCAAAATTTCTATGTCCAAATTTCTATGTTCCAGAACTAGGTCTTTAATTTTACTAGTTCCGTAGTTCCAGTTCCAAGCTAGTTCCAGACATTTACTAGTTCCGTAGTTCTAGTTCTGGAACTAGAACTAATTAGTTCCGGAACTGGAACTTTGCCCATCACTGTTTCAACTTGTGTTATTTATAATTATTTAAAAAGCATTTGAACATCTAAACTTTTAAAGTTTATCAAAGTCATTCTTTTTCGGAAATCGGATAGAATCAACGTCGAAAATCGTAATTCCGACGACCTCTTCTTCTAGTACTGGATGTAACTTATATAGTAAGGTCTAGTTACGGATTTTTTTCAATTGCGTGCAGCCCTGATCGTGTCCTAATTTTTTTTGCCTTTTTTAAAAAAAACAAAACAACATTTTCCGCAAGGTCTAGAGTTAACCATAGTAAGGCCCGACTTTAAATTAGTTTTTACAATGACTATATGTATTTAATATTATAACTTTAATTTTTTAATATTAAATTGAAATTAAAGAAAATTTTTTCATAATTAATAATTTAAAAAAATTTTGTTTAAAAATTTTTTAATTAATTTCTGTTTACAATTTAAATATTTAAAAACATTTTCCGCTTTTTTATGATTAATTGGCAGGTGAATATGAAGTTTAAATAATATAAAGTTTAAAATAATTATACTATATTCAACAGACAAGAATTCTTATTGAAATTATTGTTTTAATTGTGCCAAAATTATTCACCTGCCAATTAAATATTTTTAAATATTTAAATTGTAAACAGAAATTATTAAAAAGTTTTTAAACAAAGTTTTTTTAAATTATTAATTATGAAAAATTTTTTTTGCCTTTTATTTCAATTTAATATTAAAAATTTAATTTATTAAATTGCACTTAGTTTCATTGTAAAAATTTATTAAAGTTGGGCCTCAATGAAAAAAAGTTGTCCTTACACACACCACTAACCACACACTAAAATTTCTATATATCCTAGCTTTTTCGAATCCAAATATCCGGATCGGCCATTTCTAGAGCTCAATTTAATCCCGCCACAAAAAACAATGGGAATTCCAAGTTTCGGGAATCGGGGAGGTATGATCGGCACGTAAATGTAGATGAAAAAGGCGAAACAAATATCGTATTCGGACCAAAATGCGAAATGAGAAATAAGCTCAGCCCTGCTAGGTATCCTGGTACATAAAGACCGAAAAAAACCTGCTGACAAAACCAACCGATCGGGAACTGAAGTTGTCAAAGTATCTAAGGAGTGTGCTTTTCTCTATCCCTAATGTTTATTTTATAGTGTGGTTCGACTAAAAAATACTTCAATTTAATAGATTTCCAAAAAAAATTTTTATATAATGGAATATATTTTGTGGAATAGAAAAGAATTTGACATTGTTTATAATTGTACAGGAATTAATGTAGATGATGTTCCTATTGAAAAAAGAAGATATCCAATAACTGCAATTATTTGCATAATACTTGGATTTATATATTATGTAGATTTTTTGAATTAAAAATTTTTTTTTAAATTTAAATTTAAGCCTTTATATTTCCCTTGTCTCTACTCTTTCTGGAAAAATAGAGCCAAAAATCCCTGCTACTTGCTGTTAATTTATCTCTCAATTTTGGATATTTGTATGCTTTGGATACCAACTTTTTCATTTGGAATTCTCAGTTTAAACGGGGTTGTCTACTGTTCTTCACCTGTATATACATACTTTGTTGGTTGTATTGGTTTATGTAAGTGAAAATAAATTATAACTAAATAATAAAAAAATATCCGTTTAATCATTACATGCTATGTTATCTTCCGCCTATGCCTTCCACAGTTCTCGCTCTTTTTAACCCTTCCGCTTTTTTTCACCCATGGCTTTAAGGGGGTTAATAAAAAACAATACCCAGCTCGTCGAGATTTTCGAATAAACTATTATTTGTATATTTGAATTTTTCGCTCCAAAAATCAGCCTAATTCCTCCTATAGATTTTTAATTTTAAAGACCCGTCGAAACGAACTTGTGACACGAACAATGGCATGTGTTTTGTATCGAAATTTTCCCTCCGGTGTACTAAACTTCAGTTCTGGAAAGTCCCTGATCTCATTTACTTGTTCGAGCCTCAATCCCTACGCCTAGTTGTAACATTCTGTTGCGAGAAACGTTATTTTTGAACACGTCCACATTATAAATCTAAGGCAACCCTCGGACATAACCTTCTACATCTCTCACTATATTTATTAAGATATTTTTCAGATTTATGGGCCGCTGAATGTTCTGCTGATTTGGTCTAATAAATAAATTAAAAATTGCTAAAAATTAATATTTTTTAGATTTTGGGAATAAATCGTTGTATCGAAATGGCATTTCCAAAAATTTCAAAAAAACTTTTTCACAATAATCGTGTCTATATTTGGATTATTTTTAGTAATTTATATGGACTTTATTGGCTTTTATTCCGACATCCTTATATTTTTAACGGAATAACGTATGAAACTTCCTTTGAACCATTACTTGGATATAGAGATTTTAGAATGGAATTAGTAAAATTTAAATGTTAAAATTTGTAATTTTAATATTTGCAGCTCAATGAAGATTTGAGAGAATTTACCATACACAACACAATATTGGCTGTTGGTTCTCCAATAATTTATTTGATTTTTTCACTTTGTGTTTTCTTCAAAACCCGTGAATTAATTGATAGTGTATCGAAAGAGGAGAAAATGGTTAAAATTTTATTATACCTCACTTTTAGTAGAGTAGGCGATATCGATACTTTAGGAAAAATTCGATATAGAGATTTGTCGATATTGGCACAATCGAGATCGATATGCAAGATTTGACCAGATATCGAGACCCGACCTTTCCTTTCGCCCATCATTAGGGGTATATCTTTGAAACCGGTTCCGGAACCGGTTCTAAACCGATTCTGGACCTTTGCCGGTTTCACGGTTCCGGTTCCAAACTGGTTCCGGACTTTTACCAGTTCCACTTCCGGAACCGGAACCGACCGGTTCCGGTTCACTACCCTACTTTTAAATGATGGGTAATTATCGTTTCAACCTACCTATTTGCTTGAGAAGGTAACTAATCGAGAGGGGGTATAATTTTAAAGAGGCACGGTAGATTAGATAGAGGTGTTCTTATATAAAATCGGGATTGAATATTATATTAAATTAAAATAATTTTAAGGTCTTTCTTCAAGTATTTATCATTTCAATGTTCAATACATCAACAGGTATTGTTTATTCTTACAATATGAATCATTCAGATCTTGGAATTTTGCCATTGATGATTGGCCATTTTTCTTGGTAAATTCTAATTAACATTTAGTTTTATATACCTAATTTTTATTTAATTTTTAAGGTTACATATTCATGGTATGTTAATCAAAAATAAATTTTGTTATTAAAAACAGGGGGAGCCATTTTACTTCATTTGGAAATTTCCCCCAGTTTGACACTTCTTGCCCCTTTTCTATCCCTTTTTTCTACATGCTCCTGTTGGAGATTTAATTTGAGAGAGGCACGGTAGAAAAGGGTCACCCTGATTAAAAAGCAAATTTAAATATTTTTAATTTTTTTATAGGATTCCCACCAGTAATATACTTAACATTAAACAAAACTGTTCGGACTGACACAAAAATTCTACTTGGAAAATTTCTTAGTTTATTAAAGAAAAATCAAAATCAAGTTGTAACTATTGTTGGACCTGCCCAAAATGGATGATGTAAATATGTTGTACATAGGGGTCTGAAAAAGCGAAATACGAAAGATAAATCATCAAGAAGACGAAAATTTGGCGAAAGGTGAAACTGCACACTAGGAATGGGGGGGGGGGTTGCCAGGGTAAATGTCAAGTTCACTATCCGCATGTACGTAAAGGGTGAATGCGCACTTTTCTTTGCTTTTTGTACTTAGATTAAACATAAATAATAAATCCCCCTTTGGTTAAAATTATTAAATAATTATTAAAATTTTCTTAATGATATTAAGAGAGTTGCCTGTTTTCTGGCAAAATTCATAATCATAAAAAAAGTTAGAGGTTGTCAAGAGTTACGGGTAGAATACAAAAATTTGTATTTAATAACTAGGCAACTTATAGGTGGTTTTTCTATTTAATTAATGTGTAATATTTTTCTCTGAAGAAAAAATTAATATCCAAATTTTTCGATGATCAGATACTTGATTTCGAATCAAAAATTATTTGTAAAATACCTAAATGTCTTTAATTTATCATTATTATTTCTCTTCTTAGTATACTGTATCAGTAAGTATGAAAAATGGGCGAGCAAGCAAAAATGTAAAGAGGGAAGGAAAAGTGCGCATCCACTTTGTGGACAGGTTGATAGCGAACTGGACATTTTTTGGATACCAGAACCCCGATACCTAGACTTATTTTTCGACCCAGAACCCGATCCGAGAAAAACTTTGAAAACCCGACATTTTTCTCAACCCGTCCCATTCCTGCTGTACACTCTGTTGTGTATTTTGTAAAATATACCTATTAATATACTCATTATTACCGATTATCTAGCTACTTTTAAGTATGATTAATAAAATATTTTATTCATTTTGTAAATTATTTACTAATTTTTTTACGATTTTCTGTTGGTTACTTGATAAAAATCTGTCTATTTTTAATCTATCACTAAGTGCCTTGGTCTTGGTCCGGGCTATATGTATGTAACTTTAATTTTAATAATCTTAATGAAGAAAAGTTTTGAAGTAAATTTAATTTTTCTAAAGTTTGTTGATAAAATTAAAAAAAAATAAAAGAAAAATAGAAGAAATAATGAGCAAAGTCAAAAAATTACTGTAAAAATTAGTGTAGCACAAAGCCCGTTATTTATTAATAGAAAATACAATGTTTGCCGTCTGGTTTTCCGGTTTTTAATAAAAAAGCTTTATTTAATAAAAACCAAAAAAATTTTAAAAAATCAAATTAAATCTGCTTATCACACCAATATTGCCAGTTTCATCGTTTTCTACTGTTTGTAGTTCAAAATCATCATCCTCAATTGTTGAAGGACTGTTCAACAGTGCCTCGTCCCTTGTACCTGCGTAATTTTTTCACATTCTCTAATTTTCCTTTTTCTTCACCGCTGGAGGCAAAAATTTTGAAAATTTTGTAGGCCTTATGAGAAAAAATGTGTTTGTCAGAGCCGCCAACGCAAATTTTTTTTAAAGTTTAAATGCTCATGAAGCCATAACTCTTAAAGTTTCTGCGGCAACCGTAAACGGTTTTGTGTTACCCTAATAAAAATTCCACAATATTTTAATTAAAAGCTCGTTCTCCCACACACTTTCAAATTTATTTAAAAATATTTACAATTACCAGTCTAAGTATATTAACATTTTACACTTTTTTGCCCGCACTATGAGACATTAAAATATTTTTTAAATTAGTCCGAGCGTCACGGCATTTTTTAATAATTACATAATACATAACTAGCTTCATTTCTTGGGTTTTCAAAATACTCAAAATTTTCGCCTGCGTCGCTAAAATGTGAACATTTTTCGGAATTTTTTTCACTTTTAAGTGCAAAATATCGTCTTAAACGCTGGAATTGATTAATGTACATACTATATCGAAAAATTTCTACCAACCTTGCAGAAATTTTAATTCTTGATTTTTTAATAGCATTTCCAAAAAAATTTATATAATGGAATATATTTTGTGGAATCGAAAAGAATTTGACATTATTTATAATTGTACAGGAATTAATGTAGATGATGTCCCTATTGAAAAAAGAAGATATCCAATAACTGCAATTATTTGTATAATACTTGGATTTATATATTATGTAGATTTTTTGAATTAAAAATTTTTTAATTCGAAATTTAAGCCTTTATATTTCCCGTGTCTCTACTCTTTTTGGAAAAATCGAAGCAAAAATCCTTGCTATTTACTGCTAATTAATCTCTCAATTTTGGACCTTGGATTTCTTTGGGTACCAACTTTTGCATTCGGAATTCTTAGCTTAAACGGTGTTGTCTACTGTTCTTCACCAATATTTTCCTACTTTGTTGGATGTTTTGTTTTATGTATGTAAGTGTTGAAATATGGAGGTTGAGAGATTTATTAACCACACAAACATACAAGCAGGGTTGGCGTTTCTTTAGAAATTTCTGGTTATCCAAAACTGAAATCTTAAATAAAGTGGTGAAGAATGTCTGTTTGATCGAGAGGGTCTCGTTAAATTTTGAGAATTTGGAAGTTAAAAAGCCAGATACATCAGAACAGTTAGGGGATATCAAGAGATTTCTGGCTACCATTTCAATTCCGAATATGCAGATAACGAGGATCCGGTAGGTGACTAGTAACGGGTAACCAAAACATCCCTGTTATGAAAACAACGTTCCCGAAGACCGTGACTAAAACAATGTTCTAATAGAAAAAAAGCTTAAACATTGAGATTACATTTACTGATATTTTTTAGATTTATGGGCCGCTGAATGTTCTGCTGATTTGGTCTGATAAATTATTTAGGAATTAATTTTATAAATTTTACCAGATTTTGGGAATAAATCGTTGTATCGAAATGGCATTTCCAAAAATTTCAAAAAAACTTTTCCACAATAATCGTGTCTATATTTGGATTATTTTTAGTAATTTATATGGACTTTATTGGCTTTTATTTAGACATCCTTGTATTTTTAATGGAATAAATTATGAAATCTCCTATGAACCATTAACTGGATATAGAGATTTTAGAATGGAATTAGTAATTTAAAATCTAATTTAAATATATCTACGTATTTTCAGTTCAATGAAGATTTGAGAGAAGAAACTATACACGACACAATATTGGCTGTTGGTTCCCCTTTAGTTTATTTGATTTTTTCTCTAATATTTTTCTTCAAAACCCGTGAATTAATTGATAGTGTTACTAAAGAGGAGAAAATGGTTAAAATTTTATTATACCTCACTTTTAGATAATAGGAAGGTTGTAAACGTGTCTGGTGATTTCGGCAGAAGTGACGAGAGCAGTGGTAAATGGGCAGTAGAGATCGAGCTGGACCTGGACCAAAGCCTGGCTTTTTCCTGGACTACAGGTCCAGGTCCAGGCATTTTTACCTTCCTGGGTTTTTCCTGGACCTGGGTTATTTTTGGACTACAGGTCCAGGTCCAGTCCAGGTCAAGAAATCAACTCCAGAGTCCAGGAACAGGTCCAGGCTTTTCAAAAATCTCGATCTCTAATGGGCAGTGTGTGATTTGGGCAGTAAACGTTTTTTAAAAAAATATTTTCCGCACAAAAACAATTAGAGGACCTATTGATAGAGGGGGTAAGCGAGGGTGGGGGTATAATTCGACAGGCACTGTAGATTAGATAGAGGTGTTTTTATCTAAAATTTGGGTTGAATAATAATATATTAAATTTGTAATATTTTAAGGTCTTTCTTCAAGTATTTATCATTTCAATGATAAATACATCAACAGGTATTACTTATGCTTACATTATGCATAATCCCGATAATGGAATTTTGCAAATGATGATTGGACATTTTTCTTGGTAAATGCTAATTAACATTTAATTTTATATAATTTTTGTTTAATTTTTAAGGTTACATATTCATGGTATGTTAATATTTAAATAGAATTTTGTTATTAAAAAATAGAGTGATCCCTTCTACCTCATCTTCGGGGTTCTCCCCTGTATGACACTTCTTGCCCTTTTCTATCCCTTTTTTACATGCTCCTGTTAGTGGATTGAAAAGTAAATTTAAATACTTTTTAAATATTTTTTGTAGGTTTCCCACCAGTAATTTACTTAACATTAAACAAAACTGTTCGGACTGACACAAAAATTCTACTTGGAAAATTTTTTGGCTTATTCAAAACAAATCAGAATCAAGTTATAACTATTGTTGGCCCTGCCAAAATGGATAAAGTAAATATGTTGCGTATCAGGGGTGTGCCGAAACAGATCTTATAAAGCGAAAGACAAAACAACAAAACTCTATGTTGCGTATTTTGTTATTTGAATAAAGATTTGCGATTTTATGGTTTTCTTGATAAAAATCTACATCTATTTTAATCAATCCCCAGGAGATATTTTTTAAATTAAGAATGATTTAATGTTCGAAATTAAATGTAACTCTTCTCTCTCCTTAGGGTCTCATTAAATTTAGGTCTCATTAAATTTTGAGAATTTGGAAGTTAAAAACGTCTTCGGGAACGTTGTTTTCATAACAGGGTGTTTTGGTTACCCGATACTGATAATACTTTCTTCAAGTATTTATCATTTCAATGATAAATACATCAACAGGTATTACTTATGCTTACATTATGCATAATCCCGATAATGGAATTTTGCAAATGATGATTGGACATTTTTCTTGGTAAATGCTAATTAACATTTAATTTTATATAATTTTTGTTTAATTTTTAAGGTTACATATTCATGGTATGTTAATATTTAAATAGAATTTTGTTATTAAAAAATAGAGTGATCCCTTTTACCTCATCTTCGGGGTTCTCCCTGTATGACACTTCTTGCCCTTTTCTATCCTTTTTTTACATGCTCCTATTAGTGGATTGAAAAGTAAATTTAAATACTTTTTAAATTATTATTTAAGGTTTCCCACCAGTAATTTACTTAACATTAAACAAAACTGTTCGGACAGACACAAAAATTCTACTTGGAAAATTTTTTAGTTTATTAAAGAAAAATCAAAATCAAGTTGTAACTATTGTTAGACCTGCCCAAAATGTATGATGTGTATCAGGGAACCGAAAAAGCGAAATACGAAAGGCGAAAGATCAAGAAGACAAAACTCTCGCGAAGGGCGCAAAAAGTAAAAATAAAATACAGTAATATACTCGTTATTGCCGATTATCTAACCTTTGGTCCCCCTCCTTTAAGTATGATTAATAAAATATTTTTTTCATCATGTAGATTATTTCCTAATTTTTTTTGCGATTTTCTGTGGTTTACTTGATATAATTCTGTTTATTTTTTAATCTATCCCAAATGACGTACTTTAAAATATTTTTGAAACAAAGTTTTGAATGAATAATTTATGTTCAGAGGTATGCTACTTTTTTATCTCCCTAGGGATCTCCCTAATTACCTTTATCTCCCTAATTACCCTTTTTAATTATCCCGTGTAGCATGTAATTGTTGCCACTTATACAATAAAAAGATTTTTCAAAAAAAGTATTTATTTAAATTAAATTTAGAGGTCAGAAATTATTTTTGCCCTGAGTAAAAAAATAAATTTTGGGCAAATTATTTAATTAATTTATTTATTTTGTGTCATCATTTCTTCCTTTTCGACTTTTTAATTGACTCCGTAAATGATTTCTCATTTCGATCGGATTCATATCACTTCCACCTTCCGTTTCTGATTGAAAATTTAAATGTGGAATTTCTTGTTGCGACAATCCGAAAACTTTGGGTTTTTCTGCTTGTTGTTGTCTAAATTGATTTTTAAAAGTTTTTCTATTTTATAAACTCGTTCAAAGCTAGCTAATCCAAAATATATTAACTTTTGGGCATGAAGGGCATACTCAAGTCTTTGATCAACCACCGTATAATTTGGAACCGTTTCTCCTAGTCTCTAATTCCTATCATAGATCCCAGACAAAGCATCGAAAAATCAAGTATTTGATCAAACATTTCATTTCGTCATTTGATCAACCCTTATCAGCTGGAGACTTCATGATCGATCATGATCAGAGATCGATAGCTTATCAAATTTTTGTCTCGATTATATTGATTATTAAAGAAATTTCGTCTTTACCCAATCTTTAGTTACAATTTGTTTTACTCTTAGGGATTGGGTCGGGTCGGGGATAATGGTGAAATGCTCGTCCGAGAAAGCGGTCGGTGTCCAAATCAATTTGAATGACTGTTATTCAACGGTAACTCTGTAAAATAAGGTTGGCGGATGCGGATATCCGGATCCGAAAAACGGCCGGATCTCCGGAAATTTTCGGTTCGGATACCGGATCCGGATATCCGAAGATTTCCAGCTAACCGCCAACCTTACTGTACAAAGTATTTTTGACTACAGGGTTCCTTCCACTCTTTCTACCTCATGTTTAAACAAATCCAAAACTATATTCACCTATTATCAAGGGCTGTATTAATCAAATTATCATCAGAATAACCACTTGAAGAAGCAACATTATTGTTTACATTCCTTCCTCTTTCTTGTTTCATTTTTTCTTTCTGTTGCTTTTCATTTTGCCTATTTTGTTCATTAAATCCATTTGATGTTTCAAATGGGGGTTGTTCTCTAGCAGAGTTAGGGTTGCGAGGTTCTGCTGGTTGTTGCTGATTTTCTTCCTCTGATTCGGCTTGATTTACTTTGAAGGCTGGATTGTATGCTGAATTGAATTTTAAAATAATACTTTATATTAAGTAGATACTTTCAGATTTCTATCGACCTCTAGCTTATTGTAAGGAAAGGCAGAGCGTACTAGTTAACATTTAAAAATGATTATGGTTAAGAGCAACAAAAAGAGAAATTACAGTTAACGCTATATTTTAATTTGTAGAGCAATTGAGGAGCTTAGAAATCTTGGGCGTTTAACTTGGTTGCCCGTTCATAACACTTAATTTAGAGAAGCTTAATCAAAACCCTTACGTACAAATCAAAAAGTGTAAGATAGGATAATTTGTAAATTCATTTAATCGTTTTTAATTTCATTAACAATAGATTATTTCTGCTTAACAAAGAATCTTTTCTCAATCAAGAAAGATGTTAAGCCCTCGTATGTATTTCACTAAACCTTTAAGCTACTTTTAGATTAACTTAATAAGCGACCTTGATCATAATCATATTAAAATTTATGATATATTTTAGATAATTTCACTAGATAGTCTCAACCTGGAGGCATAGGGTGTTGTGGCATATTGTTTCTAATATTTGCTTGTTGAGGTAAACCCTGAGATTGTATATTAGATTGATGTAAATTTTGTTGATTAAAATTTTGTTGGGATGGTTGGGGCACATTATTTGGTTGTCCAATTTGCTGAGGCATTGGCCTTTCAAAATTAGTGGAAGGGGGAGGGGGTGGTGGTGGAAGATGAGAAGAATCGGAGCCTCCAAATGTAAAGGTCTGTACCGGGGGGATTTCACGTCGAGAAGATAATGAAGAGAATTGGTCTGGACCTGTTGCTTAAATATTTTTTGAAATTTAAAAAAAATTTACAAATTTTTACAATATTTTGGAGGCTTAACAGGATAATAAGACTCAGGAGGAGGTGCAAATGTCGGCATTGGTGGTAGTGTGAAGGGTTGAAGTGGTGGTAGTGGTGGAAGGGTTTGAAGTTGGAATTGTGGTAACTTAAATATTGTTAAATGAAATTGAAAATTACAGTAGAGCCTCACTATATGATAAAACTTTAAGAAGAAAAAGTGGAAGTTATAATGAGGGGTTGCATTGAGGGTCTATTGAGGTAATCTGTTAAGTGTTTAAATTAAGGGCTTGCTTTGTCAGCCCCTCCCATCCACATAATGTCCGAATAAATTTAATAAAAGCTTATAGTTTTATCTACTATTGAATGTATCACATATAGTGGTTTCTGACATTCCTTAAAAATTTATAGTGAATTTTTGTTAGAAGCCTTCCTAGGTTCTAATTAAGACATTTAATTCTCATTACCACATAGCTTGGAGGTGGTGGCGGTGGTGCAACAGGATAATATGAAAAAAGTTGAGGCAAAGGAGGAGGTGGAGGAAGCGTTTCTAATTTAGGTAAAGTAAATGGGGGTAATGTCTGCAAAGTAAATGTTGGTGGAGCATAATTATAATGTGAAGGAGGTGGTGGGGCAACTGAAAATAAAATTAGAATTTTTAGATTATTAAGAAATATACAGCCAACTCTCATTTTTAAACACCCCTCAAAGTTGCAAACCCTATTTTCAAATATCTCTCAAAGCTTTGATATACCTCTCAAGGTTTAGGCTACTGGGTGAAGAGAGAGGCGATTATCCATAACTAAAGTACTCGTATAAACGGAATCTAAAAGTGTGGTTAGGCTGCAATTTAAAGAATAATTGAGGAAATTATTGAGGGAAGTCCAAATAAAAATTAATTACCTGGATAATAAGATTTTGGTGGTGGTGGAGGAGGAGGTGTTGGGGGAGGTGCAGCTAAATTTAATTAAAAATCTTTATTTCTCAACAAAATTTTGAAAAATTACTTTTATATTCACTCGGTGGGGCAACATAAGAACCGGCAGCATCATCAGCCGGATATTGCTGAGGAAATAGAGAACTTCCCGGAAATCCAGCACTTCCAATACAGGCTAAAGTTGAATCCGACAAAAATACAATTAAAATAAGGGAAATAAAGGGTCTGGGAAGAGGGGGGATTTTCATTTTTAGGGAGGATTTTTAACAAAAATTTTATTTTCGAAAAATAAATTAAATATTAAACAGTTTTACTCGTTTTATAGCAATTTATTTTTCATATTTTTGTAAACGGCCTCCAAATTTAGAAAAAAATTTTTTTTTCTTCAAAATGCCTAAAGGCAGCGAAAATTAAAATGAAAGGAAAATGTTGCAAAATATTTTATAAAGGAGAGAAAACAATAAAAGAATTTTAAAAAAAGCGGGAAAGGAGAGAGGATATAAATCAAGTTTTGAATTAATAAATGATGCAAAATTCCTTAAAGATATGCATAAATATTTAAAAATAACCTTGAGTAAAATTATATTGGTTTTGGGTTAAAAATACCAATGAAATTGGATAAATTTTTAATTAATTAATAAATAAAATTAATTTTTAACAAAAAATATTTTTGATAGAAAGTGAAAAAGGCCTTAAAACATAACAATAAATATTTGTACCATGTATGGGCCAAACGAATTTTAAAAAGCGGAAGACGGAAAACGAAAAGAAAAATAAAATTCGAAACCTGCGGAAGACGGAAGAGTAAAAGATCCCATCCCTCATATTTACTCAATGGCTGGGCAAAATTATATTAAAAACGTAGGAAACTAAAAGTAAACGCAGGAAAGGCCAGAAATTGGGGATCACGGAATGGTTGGTAATAGGAAATTTTCAGGACACCATGATACTTTAAATTATTTTTAACTATGTACATAAATATTACTCATAAATATTAATAATGTGATGATTTAGCCAAAGGCACAATATTTTAAATTTCTATAAAACTTTCAAAATATTTTCGAAATTTATTATAGAGGAGATATAAGGGCAAACTACAAAATAATACAAAAATTTGAAAAATACAAACAAAAAATAATAAAAAATAATCAAAGGAAGCCGTCTTGTTATTATAAAGTGCATACACATGAGTATGTCATTTTTAATTTATCCGACACCCAATTATAAATTATGGCAAGAATTTCGAAATAATGTGTATATACATAAATATATTTCTCTCTGTCGGGCATTTTTTAATTATTTATTTTTTTAAAACAAAAATTTGTTAATTAAAATAAAATGAATATTATTTATATATTCTTTATTTTGTTTATAATTTATTTGGAAAATTATAACATTTTGGCAAACGATGGAACAATCAACGTAAAAATTAATTCAGATTGGCTAGAGAAAAGAGAATATAATTATTTAAAAAATAAAAATCCAGAAGAACGTTTTTCTTTTAAAAATTTAATTGGAAAATATTTAAATACGGAAAATAATATTAATTATTATTCAGTATTTAGGAAAGTTATGCATTATTCACCAGAAATAGAAAATACTAAAAATGGCATTGTCGATGAATTAATTAGTCCATTACTAAAACAAGTATTACAAAAGATTACGCGTCAAATTTCTTGGGATAAGGGGTAGTCTGGGGAACTAAGTGGATTTGAGGTATTAAGAGCGGTTTCAAGGTAGTATATAAGTGATTTGGAAGTATTGAAGGGAATGAGGGGATATCAGGAGATTTAAAAACAAATTTAAGGCAATTAAAAGAAAGTTAACTACATCCGAAGGTGAAATCAGCGTTTTAGAAAATAATGGGCATATAAATTATATAAGAAAGGAATTAAAAAGAGTATCTATCCCCAAAAGAAAAAATAAAAATTTATAAAGAAGAATTAGGAAAAAATTATTGGGCATTAATTAATTTAAATGCTTATAAAGTTGAATTATTGGAAGAATATATTAAAATAAAGGATAATGTGGACAAAAAGTTTAAAATTAATGAACAAATTGGTAATTCAAAGGAAAGGATTAAATCAGCAGGTAATTTAGCACGCAACCTAAGTAAATTAGTGCGAAAATAACAACGTTTTCTCGAGAATCGAAAAAAATACACCCCTGTTAAGCATTGTAAAAATATAGTGAGATCCGCCTATAAAATTTATTTTAAATATAATTTGAAAATTAATAGGTGGAAAGCTAATTGACCTGACAAAATATGTTTGTATTTAACTTGAATTTATTTAAAATTAAAAGAAATTTCAGGAAATTAAATTAGAAAATTTTGTTTATGGTTTCCCATATACAAACAATGATATTACTGAATTATCTGAAGGATTTGGACTTGAAGAAGACCAAATACGTGTATGTTTTTGTTAAAAATAGATTTAATAAAACAAAAAACATTTCAGCAAATAATCAATGTATGTACATCTTTTAGTTGTTCTTTTATATCTTCGATTTCGTGTTTCTAACCCTCTAGAAAAATTTGTCTGTTTAGCCATTGAATTTTAACTTCTAAAGTAAATAGAATCTGGATCCGGATTGAGCCAGCACACTTAATTACCCATAGACAATTCCTGCCACATTTTTTCTAGGGAGATTAAAAAATAAGACCTGCTATAATTTTAATATAAAAAAGTTTTTTTCAAACCATTTCCTTGACCAATTGTAATTTTAATATATAAAACAAAGAAAACCCCTAATAAAAACACTGGGACCTCGATAATACTAATCCCAGCCACTTTCAGCAGCCGTAAAGTAAATTGGGTTCCGAGGGTTTCAGATTATCTAGACCCTAATTATTCGATTTTAAATAAAAGAACAAGAGAAAAACGTACAAAGCAAATGGAATAAAATTTAAAACTATCAAAACAACCTTTAATAAAATAAAGAAAATAGATCCAACAAAAAATTCAGGTTGTACTTTTATTATAGCTATATTTATAATATATAGCCCTATAATTTATTATAAAGCCCTATAATAACGTAATTAAATATATAAATTATTTTTTAGCTAAAATATTTAATGTTTATTTGAATGAAAAAACATTAAATTTGACTGGAATAGAATTGAAACGAATAATGAAATATAAATCCAAAAAAATATATTCGACAACTTATCCACTCGAACATTTTTTTCTTAATTTCAACGCAAACAAATTTTATTTTGATAAAAATGATGTTGAATTTAGAAAAATAATTTTAATAAATAATTCTGGAAAAAGATTTGTAATTATTGAAATTAATTATTTGGAAGATATTAAATTATGTAAATTAACACATAAAATTGAGATTGAGGAAGAAGAGTTTATTAAAATGATTGAAGAAGATGATAATGATTTTGAAGTTAAATTGGAAGAAATTGAAGTGGAATGATTGAAATTTAAGAAATATTAAATCATTCAAATCCTGTATATCGCTGTAAATTATTATTTTTATTTTTTTACTATTTTATTTTTTTTAAATCCTTTTTTATCTATTAATTCTTCAATACATGCATTTGATTTAAGTTTCTTTTTAATAAATTAGTGTTTGCATTTGTACCTTTTGATATATAATGTCGTTTTTTTATTATAATTAAATTTTTGTAATTGAATTTTAAGTTGGCTTAAGATAATTTTATATTTATTTGCTAGATTAACTCTGTTTAATCAGAAGAAACTTTTATCTGTTATTTCCTATGTGTATTTTTTTTGGAACACGCATCGTGCATAAGGAAAGATTAAAATACAATGTTTTATAGCCGATGTTAAAAAATTCTCAATGATCTCCAAATTTGTAACCAAGTCGTGGGGTCTTGAAAATATGCTCGATTAATAATATATACGTAGTATTATCATTTGAGCAAGAAACATAGTCAAGAGTCAGATACAAATCACCAGCTATTATTATATTTTTATAATTTAAGAAAAAAATACTTTACGACACAGAATAGAAGAACTTTTTTATTCCACATAATAGAAAAACTTCTATTCAAAGAATAAAACTTCTAGCTCAGAAACTGAAACTTGCCGTTTCTATTATTTCACTTTATATATTTTATGACCGATAAGATTTGTATTGAAAATCAATCGATATGAAATAAATAATAAGAAAATAAGAAATTATAACTTGCCGTTTCTATTATTTCACTTTATATATTTTATGACTGATAAGATTTGTATTGAAAATCAATCGATATGAAATAAATAATAAGAAAATAAGAAACTATAACTTGCCGTTTCTATTATTTCACTTTATATATTTTATGACTGATAAGATTTGTATTGAAAATCAATCGATATGAAATAAATAATAAGAAAATAAGAAATTATAACTTGCCGTTTCTATTATTTCACTTTATATATTTTATGACTGATAAGATTTGTATTGAAAATCAATCGATATGAAATAAATAATAAGAAAATAAGAAATTATAACTTGCCGTTTCTATTATTTCACTTTATATATTTTATGACTGATAAGATTTGTATTGAAAATCAATCGATATGAAATAAATAATAAGAAAATAAGAAATTATAACTTGCCGTTTCTATTATTTCACTTTATATATTTTATGACTGATAAGATTTGTATTGAAAATCAATCGATATGAAATAAATAATAAGAAAATAAGAAATTATAACTTGCCGTTTCTATTATTTCACTTTATATATTTTATGACTGATAAGATTTGTATTGAAAATCAATCGATATGAAATAAATAATAAGAAAATAAGAAATTATAACTTGCCGTTTCTATTATTTCACTTTATATATTTTATGACCGATAAGATTTGTATTGAAAATCAATCGATATGAAATAAATAATAAGAAAATAAGAAATTATAACTTGCCGTTTCTATTATTTCACTTTATATATTTTATGACCGATAAGATTTGTATTGAAAATCAATCGATATGAAATAAATAATAAGAAAATAAGAAATTATAACTTGCCGTTTCTATTATTTCACTTTATATATTTTATGACCGATAAGATTTGTATTGAAAATCAATCGATATGAAATAAATAATAAGAAAATAAGAAATTATAACTTGCCGTTTCTATTATTTCACTTTATATATTTTATGACTGATAAGATTTGTATTGAAAATCAATCGATATGAAATAAATAATAAGAAAATAAGAAATTATAACTTGCCGTTTCTATTATTTCACTTTATATATTTTATGACTGATAAGATTTGTATTGAAAATCAATCGATATGAAATAAATAATAAGAAAATAAGAAATTATAACTTGCCGTTTCTATTATTTCACTTTATATATTTTATGACTGATAAGATTTGTATTGAAAATCAATCGATATGAAATAAATAATAAGAAAATAAGAAATTATAACTTGCCGTTTCTATTATTTCACTTTATATATTTTATGACCGATAAGATTTGTATTGAAAATCAATCGATATGAAATAAATAATAAGAAAATAAGAAATTATAACTTGCCGTTTCTATTATTTCACTTTATATATTTATGACTGATAAGATTTTATTGAAAATCAATCGATATGAAATAAATAATAAGAAAATAAGAAATTATAACTTGCCGTTTCTATTATTTCACTTTATATATTTTATGACCGATAAGATTTGTATTGAAAATCAATCGATATGAAATAAATAATAAGAAAATAAGAAATTATAACTTGCCGTTTCTATTATTTCACTTTATATATTTTATGACCGATAAGATTTGTATTGAAAATCAATCGATATGAAATAAATAATAAGAAAATAAGAAATTATAACTTGCCGTTTCTATTATTTCACTTTATATATTTTATGACCGA